CCAGCCCTCAGGTACGGGGCAGTGTGGTCAAGCTGCCCAGGAAAGGCTCGTAGGCGCCGTGGAGGGGAGACGCTGATGTGATGGTCCGCGGGCTCTCACCTTCGCTGTCAAACCTCATCCAGGCGATGTCATCCCCCACACACTCCACCTTCCAGCCTGGCAGGGCAGGCCGCATCATGGCCAGGTTTGTCTTGCCGCAGGCGCTGGGGAAGGCGGCGGCCACGTAGCGCTTCCTTCCGGCGGGGTTGGTGATGCCCAGGATCTGCACATCGGGGAGAGAGGGGACAAGGCGTCAGTGACAACGGCCAGGGCAGTGTGTCGTGGGCAAGGACAGCTAGGGGGGTGACAGGGACGGCCTGGTGAGTCACTAAACAGGGCTGGGGTGGCAGCCAGGGGGAGCCCCATCAAGTTCAGCAGCCTGGGGCCAAAGCTTCGGGCAGAGTTCCTGCCATCAGCCTGGTACCCACTGGCAGGGGAGGCGAGACAGGCAGACGGCCGGGCCTCGCCTCATCCCCACCGCCCAGCCCCCAGCTGCCCCCGGATCCTCGCCAGGCCCTCACCAGCATGTGCTCCGCCAGCCAGCCCTCCTCGCGGGCCAGCCGAGAGGCGATGCGCAGGGCAAAGCACTTCTTGCCCAGGAGGGAGTTACCACCATAGCCGCTGCCGAAGGAGACGATCTCCCGCTGGTCGGGCACGTGGCCAATCAGCGTTTTCTCTGGGTTGCACGGCCACTGGCTCCCTGGCTCCCCTGGGGACAACGGGGTCATGGGGCTGCTGGCAGGGGCACGGGGAATGGGTGTCAGGGACTGGCAGGAGTTGACCGTTGGGAACGGTGGTGGTGGTGCCACCTCCTCTGGTATCCGGCTCCGTGCCCCTGTCCTTGCTGCTCCACCTGGTGCCTACTGCTCTGTAGGCAAGCTCAGCCTCGGCCCGGGCTGCGGGCCTGCATCTGGGGACGTGGGTTTTCAGGGAGGATGGGTTCTTGGGGGTCTCTGGGTAAGAAGAATTTGGAGTTCCCTACGATATCAAGAAGACCTCCCCTGGGCAGAGCAGGTACTCACTCACCCTGCCCAGTGAGGGGCCGGCCCACAGAGTGCAGGCACTTGACAAAGTCGCCATCTCCCAGGGCACGAAGCACGGGTACCCCTAGGCGGGTCATAATGCGCATGCTCGCCACCACATAGGCCGAGTCGGTGAGCTGCACGCCGATTCGGGAGAGTGGGGAGCCCACGGGACCCATGCTGAATGGAAGCACGTACATGGTGCGGCCTGTCAGGGAGAACAGGGCCTGGGTGAAGGATTCCAGCCCAGGTTGGCCCCCAGGACCCCTGCTGCCTCTGTTCCCCCCCGCACGAGTTACCCTGCATGCAGCCCGGAAACCTCTCATCCACGGCTCGCTGGAACTCAGCGGGCGACATCCAGTTGCCCAGCTGCCCACGGGCCCCACCAGCCGGGAGGGGAATGGTGTCCCGTTGAGAAGGAGTTACAATCACCGTCTTGCTTTCTACTCGTGCCACGTCCTTGGGGTCTGTGCGGGCCAGCCAGCTGGGGGAGAGGGAGGCTCAGGAAGATGGTGGCCAGCGCTCTCGGTCATCCCCGGCCCACTTCTTCAGGGTCCGAATGTTGGCCTATTTCCTTCCACCCAATAGCATCTCCTACCCTCCCTGCAAGGGTTTGGTCCATCTAATTCAGCCTTCTGGGAAAAACAAAACAAAAATATAACTCCCCAAAACGACTTGAACTTGTGAGCTAAAAAGATGGCCCAGAGTGCTTAGTTATATTTGCTTCTTCGTTGAAGAATGGAAAACCACAGGCTAATCCCAGTTCCTGACTCTCTTTCCCCCAAAACTCTCCTACTTGCTGAGTCCACCGGGGTGATCCAGCGGGACTGGGCTTTGTCCAAATGGTGCATGCCAAATGGCTTCCCGTCCAAGCCACTGGCCTTATCGCGGGCGCTGCTGGACCCAGGGGCTTACCAGTTACTGTACTTGTGGAGCTTCCGGATGAGACCCTGCTGCTCCAGCAGGGCCAGGGTGGCAGTGTTCTCCGTCTCGGTCCCATCACAGATGTGGATGCTCTCTGGCTGGCACAGGCGGGCACTGCGTTCCACAAAGTCTCGCACCCCCACAGACAGCTGGCTCAGATCTCCATTGAGTACTCGCAGGGTCTGGACGTGGCGCCGGGGCTGTGGTGAGCACTCCCAGGGGACCTGCACTCGCCAGTGGAGCCTGCACAGAAGGGGTGGGAAGGAGCCAGGTGTGAGTGTGAGGGGCATGCCAGGGGGCGGGAGGGGCCCACAACCGCAGGTCCCACGAGGAGTCAGTTGGAGTTGGAGTCGGGGATGAGATCCTGTCCCATGTACCTTGTGGCCGGCCTCTAGGAGGCTTAATGAAGGTAGGATGTGATTAGTGACGCTGGTCTGGCTAAGTGAGCATGAAGGCACATCTCGGGCTGTGTGGCCGTGTGTGTGTGAGAAGGCAGGCCCATCTGTCTTACTGCATGTAGGGCCCAGTAAACCCATGCTTATCCATCTGTGACCAATGTTCCAATTGAACAGGCATCCTGTGGCCCAAGGCTCCAGAAACTGTCCCGGTGATGCTTCACGCGTCTGGTGTTTGGGCTCTTGGCGGCCCCTTCCGCTCTGCAGTACTGTGTTTAATAAGTGAAAATGGCAGCGGTGTGTTCCCGCCCCCCTTCTGGCATGTGTGGTGTGATTGTGAAAGCCTCAAACAAGTGCCTGCTCTCTCAGGTGGCACAGCCCTCTTCCAGCCCCGGGTTTCTCTGGCTCTTGCACTGAGAGGGCTTGGCTGGGGGTTGGCCTTCCAGGCTCCCAGGCACCGGAGCTGCCGAGGTCCACCTGGGCCAACAGGATTGTGTACTAAGTTGCCATCAGGTTGGCTGTTGTGAACCGTGGGG